ATATATATATACTTTTTGTGGCGCATGGAAATTCGGTACTCTAGCCAATGCTCTCAAGTGCCCCAGTAATTGGAGCAACTTCTAAAACCCATGAAAACTGACCGTCAGAGTGAAAGGGACCATTGATTATATATATATTTAACAGTGTGGTGGAGCCAACAAAATCATGTTTTGACGCTGTATTTGATGGATCTAATATGCGGTTTAATGCATGCACTCCACCTGAAAGAATTGAAAAATTAGTAATTAGTGATTAAACATTACAATAAAGAATTGGAAGCTTTTGTCTCACGAGTGGTTCAGAACTTGCCTGGAAATGGCACTTCACTTTTTTAATGGTACTATACTTTTCTAAAAAAAAAAAAATCGCTTTTTCCTGTTGATGACGATCTCGTTGACGCCTAATTAGAATACATTATTGCTAATTGGTGCAGGTAGATTACCCGCTTTCGAGGAAACTGGATGTCAAGAGACAAATGCAGAGAATTTAACTTTGCATTTGTCATCATTTATATATATATATATATATATATATATACAGTAGTGTTAAAATCCAATTTAGCTACTATGGATCCTAAAATCTTTCCTTCAAAAAAGTTGGATTGGATTCTCTTTTGTAGTGGTGTCTGGATTAAGTGGCTTTAGTTTTGTTCTTACTTTTAAGCACCTGGGAGTAGGTATATAAAGCGAATTGACTCTGGCATGCCAATTTAATTGTAATAAAATAGATATTAGTAAGAGTTGGAGTACCTGGACGTTCTGACCTCTCAAAAGGAAACGAAGAAGAATTTGATCAGTGAAACTACAAATCAAATTCTTTTTTGGGGTATTAGTAGCAGCAGAGTATTATATAAGTAATCAGAAAACAATTGAAATAAAAACCAAAGGACATCAGCTCCCTGTATTGTCTAATGGATCAACGGGTCCAGCCGCATCCCTGCATGCATCGTCTCTAACCATACGACATATAATTGATTGATGCTGCTAGGAAATTTAAAAAAGAAAAAAGGCCCAAATGGGAGATTTCAGAACCAAAATAATTGCATGATTGAAATACTGCTTCTGCTGCGAGTACGACCATCTGTAGGCTTAGCCTTCATCGATGGGAGAATAGAAGTTTGGCCTTCACCGTCTTAGCCTTTGTCCAGCAGGCTTTTGCATTTTAGGCACTCCAAACCAGACCATCTGTAGGCTTTTACAGTTTGGATATCCCGTTTTTTAAATATTATTTTACTTGCAATGTATTTATACTTTCTAATTACTTTTATATTTTCTAATTATTATTATTATTTTATCTCACACACGCGTCACATTAGAAAAGTTACTACTATAATCTTAGTGGCAAATCGCAACAAAATTGACGAGTATGAAGACGGTCGACAGGTGGAGAGCGTGGGATGGGGTGAATTTGCTGTGAGAAAATAATAGATGGCAAGCAAATTGCGTTTTAGTCCTGGAATGATGTAAAAGTGACAAGAGAGCGTGGATATCGTTTCTGTCTACACGAGTTGTACCAAGGAGGCTAAGAAAGGAAATTAAAGAGAAACATGGGTTACTGCAGTGTAGTCAACCAACTCAAATTGTTTGGTCAAATTAGTAAGATTTGTCGGATTAGTCAATAGGCGTCGGATCACACGTGTTTTTGAGTCGAGTTCAAGTCGAACAGTACCATACTCAAAACTCAAACTTGACATAGATTGGTACTAATTGAATTCGAACTTGACTCATTTAATTATATTATATAATTGAGAGTGCTCGAGCTCAACCCGAATTCGAACTTGAAATAATTCAGCTGTCCAACTCTCTCCTAGTTTTGAGTGTTTTTGAGTCGAGTTCAAGTCGAGCAGTACCATACTCAAAACTCAAACTTGACATAGATTGGTACTAATTGAATTCGAACTTGACTCATTTAATTATATTATATAATTGAGAGTGCTCGAGCTCAACCCGAATTCGAACTTGAAATAATTCAGCTGTCCAACTCTCTCCTAGTTTTGAGTTTCAACGCGCTAAACGCCACAAATGAGCTAGGGCCTGAGCCGTCACTTAGACGTAGCCCCCCGCCCCTCCCACCCTTCCCGGCGGCTATTCTACTATGTGCAATAGGGGTGGGAATTTCTGACATGATCCAAAAACACAACACGAATTTAACACGAAATTAATGGGTTTGGGTTGAAGTTTTGGGGGTTCGGGTCAGAATCGGGTCGAACCCGATGAATCCGAAAAGAAAACAGGTCGATTTCGGGTCAACCCGTGGTGACCTGATATGACCCGTTTACAAATTAAAAATAATTTAATAAACATAAAAATTATTTTATCTAAATAAACTAAATCATTCTTTTTTTTCAAAGGCATTAATTACTTAATCCTAAATGAATTTATTTACCTTGTGTGAAGTTAAAATTATTATATTTGGACAAATAATATAATTCGTTTTAATTTATTTTATATTTGGTTTGGGATAAAACACTTTTACGGTGTTTAATTTATTTTGGATTTGATTTGAAATTATTTATTTAAAATTTTATTACTTGATGATGTAATTAATTTTGTGAGAAATTGATTTTATTAGAATTTACAGTGATAAATTAATAAATTAAAATTAATTTTCGGGTCATTTTGGGTCGACTCGCCAACCCAAAATTTTCGGGTTCGTGTCAGATATACTGACCCGTCACGGGTTGACGGGTCGGGTTCGGGTCAACAGATTTTTTGGCGGGTCGGGTCCTGATTGGACCCGAATTGCCACCCCTAATGTACAGCAGGGGTACGCGGGAGAATTCCTCCAGTGCATTTTTTTTTTTTAAAAAAAATGAATTAGAATGGCTATTTCAAGTTTAAGATAAGATACATTACATTTCTTCTTGCAAACTTTGCTACTAAACGGGTTTTTTTTTAAGGAAAAAAAAAAAACCAGACGGGTTAAGTATTGAAATACGAGTAGTTTAGTAAACAAGAAAAAACTGAATTTCATTCTTTGTTATCTTTATAAATCAAATAAAAAGCAGTAAAGTATGAACTGTTATAGTTACAGGTAAGAGACAAAGATAGAGTCGTTGTGTGTCCCTTGGACCAGGATATGTGGGGCGCTGGCAGCATCCGGTTGAACGTAGGGTAATATGCATTGGATTATTTGTCTAATGAATTAGAAAAAAAATACTTAGGATCTGTTTGATAACATAAAAAAGTGCTGAATCTGAATTGTTTCAGATATTCAGATGTTTTGAGTGTTTGATAAATAAAAATCAATTTGCTGAACTTGTTAAGTAGTGTTGAACCTGTGTGTATTTTTTTCAGCACAAGAATCCTAACTGAATGCTTAATTCTGATAAGAATCAATAGAATTACTTTAACTACCTTATCTTATCTACCAAATCTACCCTTGTTTGTTAATTATATTCAAAATTTTTATTTAATTAAATAACATAATATTCTCTATCTAACGAATTTTAGTTTCTCTTTCTCCCTTTTTAATGACTTTCACATCTTCTCCATACTCCTCATATAATATATTTCATCTTTTATATTAATTTGATTTAAAAATAAATATTGTCATTTTCATACCTAACAAATTTAAACTAATTAAATCATAGATTTTATTTTATTTTTTGAATGAAAGGATATAAGGGCAAAATTGTCAAATTAAACTTATTAAGCATTCAGCTATAAATATTTATCAAACAATATAAATAGGTTTAGCATTAAAATTCAGACATTCATATATTTTTTTCAGTGCTTAAAATTCAGCAAATTAATTGTTTCAATATTCAAATTTTAGAATTCAGTTTTATCAAACAGAACCTTAAATTCAAGTCACATTAAATGTGAGTATTACTTAGCCACCATTGAACATACTGTTACACTTTTTATAGGCTTAGAAAACATGTCATACACACGCTTGCAGTTATGGTTCTCTATTGCAAATTTTCAATAACTTCCCAACTTAACTTCATCTTACCAAACATTTAACACATGGATACCTATTTTGATTAATACCCACGTGGCACTCGTATAATATGATATATTGCACTAAATCATGCACTAACAAGTATTGGTAACAATATCTACCATCCATCACTTGTATGTTTACCTAACCATGTAAAATAATGCAATGAAATTTGATGGGGGGAGTAAACTAAGATGATAACTCCCTAAAAAGAGAAAAATATTCAAACATTGAATAACTTCATCTTAACCATATGGTCAAAAAAAAAAAAGAAAGTGAGGACCCTTCTAGCAACTTTCCTTCCTTGTGCGCAAGTAGGCTAGACCGCCAGAGCATTAAATCTTAAATTGATTGGCTGCCCAAAAAGCCTTGTTGAATAGATGTCGTAGGCACAAACCAAATCCCTTTACGGCGTACAGCGATTGCGCTGAATGAAGGTGACCATTTATTGATACCTTGGCAGCCAATTTGTCTGCTGCTGCTATCTATTCTTCCAATTAAGTGAGAATGATTATGCAACCCCTCACAACATATTATTATTCAGATCGTAAACACATCTTCATGATGAAAAGCAACAGAAATATGGAAAAGAAAATATCCCAGAATTGGAAACATTTAAATTGATTTTGCGTTACCCTAAAATAAACTACTAATTATAACTGAACTGTGGCAAGATTAAAAATTCAAAATGGCTCTGTTGAACAGCAAAAAAAAAAAATAATAATAATAACAAGCACACACAGAAAAAAAAAAAAGAAGCAAAACGCTAATCAGTTATCATGCACCCATATGGTGGATTTTAAAAATGGGAATGTTGATTAGTATGGCCAATAAAGAACTTTCCCGGAAAGAATTATTGAATGAATGAAGTTTTAGACAAATTCCACATGCATCAGGCGTCAGATTAGACTCGAACTACATTTGCCTAACATATACATGCATGGTGCACGAATAGAAACGCACTTTTCAAACAACTTACCGTACCAAACCTTGAATGGAGCATAAAGAGAAGAACATCTACATCATCCCTTATCTGCTTTAAATTCCCTCCAAATCAAGGAAGCATTGCAATGGAGAATGATCAGGAGAAGGGAAAGAAAGTGATCAAGTATCGCGGGATAAGGAGGAGGCCATGGGGGAAATACGCAGCTGAAATTCGCGATCCAACAAGGAATGGAGCTCGTTTGTGGCTAGGGACTTTCGACACTGCTGAAGAAGCAGCCAGGGCATACGATCGGGCTGCATATGCTTTGAGGGGTCATCAAGCTCTTCTCAATTTCCCCAATGATGGTCATTATAGAAATGCTGATCCTGCCGGATCGAGCCTCGATTTTTCTCAGCTGCCATCGTCGTCTTCGATGAACTTGCCCAATTCTGGGGGAGCTGGAGCTCCTGTTGAAACTCCTGAGTTGGAAGCATCGCCAAGAGGACAAGAAGAACAAGTCATTGAGCTCGAGTATTTGGATAATAAGCTGCTGGAGGACCTTCTTGGATCGCAATTTCAGAGGCAGGATCATAGTAAGCGACCAAAGCTTTCGTAGCTATCTAAAATATTATTATGGGATTCCAGAGAGACCATTTTCTCGGTAGAAGAAGCAAATCAGCAATGATGAAAATATACCAAAGAATTTGATGGTGTTTATTTTTTTGTCCTCCCACCCCTTCCCAAACTCTTCCAACCTCCAATTGTCAGGCATGAATAGTAAATAACACCCTAAGAGCCTTTTTTTTAACCACTAGGCAACCCTAGTGGTTAGACGGTGTATAAATGCATTACGAAAATGCTTGTGTTGTTTAACGTATTTATTCATTGGCATTTTCTTATATGTTAGACAATATTATACTAGGAAAATCATCCCAATTTGTTGGTCATCGCCTACATATATCTCTTCATTTGGAAACCTCAAAAGTAATTTTTCTTTTTCTTTTCAGCGAGATAATACAAAATGTTTTGGCTTCACAGTTCGCTCACAGATCGTAGCTCATTAAAAACCAATTAGGAACGAATACGGCCATTCTTGGTCTTCTTGACGAGCAGCAAGTTGGCAAGATCACTTCCAATATGAGCAAATAAAAGATCATCGATGGGTGCTAGTTCAAGGAAGAGATAAGAAGCATAAAAATCCTCTTCGATCGTTTGTTAAGCATAATGTAAAAGCACGCATAAGCACATCAATGGATATGATATATTGATGTTGAGGTTTCACACAAATATATTTTAGGGTTTTGCAGTATGGCATATCAAAAAAAAGCTGGGGGGTAAGCCACAAAATAATGTGCTTCCTGGCCATTAATTAGCTTTGGTGCAGCCTCAGCTCTCTCAAAACAGTCTGTCAACATTTTCACTAGAGGTAAAAAAAAAAAAAAAAAAGACAGTTTCACTAAAGGTAAAATAGTGCCTAAACTTTATTCTTTTAACTATATTTACGTGATCAAATTTGATCCTCATTTAATTTGGTTTTGCGGCTCAATTCATAAATTTTTTACACCTGGCCAATGTAGGGGAAAAATAAAAAAGCCACCACCTAAATTGTACAACGCCAATACGTAGGGGTTAGTAATTTCTACGACTGTTAGCGGCACTTCTAGTATCTAATGTAGTACCTTTTAAAAACACATGCACACGCAAAATATGTATCTACTTCAAACAGAGTTCTTTTGGGATTCAGAATTTAATCACAGCAATTAATTAATTCTCACCAGTATCGCATATATGTTTTCAACTAATCCGTGATAAGTAAAATATCAACACACCAATTAGAGAAACGGAAAAACTGTATCAATTATGACCGAAAGCGTTAGTTTCAGTACTACTGTTATTACACTCTCATGCTATTGTCAACTTTGAGTTACTAATACATCGTACTTGATCGCTATCCGGATTTATCAAAAGACGGATAGCATAAAGAAAAATCACCGCGGACGGGACGGCTGAATAGTAGCCGTTGGTAACAACTGTGTAGCGAATAATACTAGCGTCGGAGGCGCGCGAGTCTTTGACTCTTTGCTCGGGCATTGTAATTTTTGGTCAATAATGCGTCTGACAATTAAAATCCTGGCATTCTTTGGTTACGTAAGATGGTTGCTTGGTTAACTTAGCAACCATGCCATCAGACTTTTTTTTTTTTTATTGATAAGTAGATGGTTTTGAATCAACAACTTTTTATTTATAATCCATTTCAACGCATGTGTTTTGAGGAACGAGCCCCAATTCTCCTTCTCGAATCCGGGGCTGGAACGATTGTCAGAACAACCGTTCCAGAAGGTGTAACACCATTTGCATACGGTGTAACATCATCTGTACAGGGTGTAATAATAGAATAACAGCGAGTAACACTAAAACAACATTTTTTGTGGGTCCCACACGGCTTGAAAATCAAGTTACAAGAAGTGATTTGAACCGCACAAATTTTTTTGACCTAATCATGACCGTAAACCTTCCGAAACGGTTGTCTCTGACAACTGTTCCAGCCCTTTCTCCTTCTCCTATACTTGTTCTTGTTCTGAGTGCAAGATATCCAATCTGTCAGACAGCCACAGATTTAAGGGGGGGCTGGTGGGGGCTTAAGCCCCCCCCCAAGCCGCCGGAAAACCCCCTATACTGAGAGCCACTGATGTGATGATTGCCGGAAAGGTTGGAGTTGTTTGTGGTTACGGAGATGTTGGAAAGGGCTGTGCTGCTGCCTTGAAGCAAGCTGGTGCTCGTGTCATCGTGACTGAGATTGATCCAATTTGTGCTCTTCAGGCCCTCATGGAAGGCTTCCAAGTTTTGACCCTGGAAGATGTTGTCTCCGAAGCTGATATTTTTGTCACCACCACCGGTAACAAAGACATCATCATGGTTAGCCACATGAAGAAGATGAAGAACAATGCTATTGTTTGCAACATTGGCCACTTTGACAATGAAATTGACATGCTCGGTCTCGAGACATACCCAGGTGTTAAGAGGATCACAATTAAGCCCCAAACAGACCGATGGGTCTTCCCTGAGACAAATTCCGGCATCATTGTCTTGGCTGAGGGTCGTCTCATGAACTTGGGTTGTGCCACAGGGCACCCTAGCTTTGTGATGTCCTGCTCTTTCACTAACCAAGTGATTGCCCAGCTTGAGCTCTGGAAAGAGAAGAGTACCGGAAAGTACTAGAAGAAGGTCTATGTCTTGCACAAGTGTTATAATCAATGATATTGGAGACAATTATTTTTCCCTAATAGTTGATGAGTCTCGAGACAGTTCAGTGAAAGAGCAAATGGGAGTTGTTTTGAGATATGTGAACAAAGAAGGGCGTGTGATTGAACGTTTCCTTGCAATTGTACATGTGTCTGACACCACATCTCTTTGTTTGAAAGATGCAATTGATTCTTTATTCGCGCAACACGGATTATCATTATCCAAATTGAGAGGTCAAGGATATGATGGAGCTTCAAATATGCGAGGTGAGTTCAATGGTTTGAAGGCCCTTATATTACAAGAAAATCCCTATGCGATGTATATTCATTGTTTTGCTCACCAACTCCAGTTAGTTATTGTTGCTGTTGCTAAGGGAAATATCATTGTCAATGAATTCTTTGTCTATGTCTCTATGATTGTCAATTTAACTGGAGCATCATGTAAAAGGAGAGATCAATTAAGACAAATAGAACATGATAAGATTGTTACACTTTTAGACAGTGGAGATATTATTAGTGGAAAAGGCAAAAATCAAGAAACTAGTTTAGCAAGACCAGGGGATACTCGTTGGGGATCACACTATCTAACATTACTTCGTCTATCCTCTATGTGGGCTTCGGTGATTGGAATATTGGGAAATATACAAGATGATGCCACCACTTCTGACAATAGATGTATGGCCAGGGGTTTGATTGATAGAATGAATGATTATGAGTTTGTTTTTGCATTGCACCTGATGAAGTATTTATTGGGAATCACAAATGACTTGTCACTTGTTTTGCAACAAAGGGATCAAAATATTGTCCAAGCCATGAGTTTGATTGATACTATGAAATCTCAATTGCAAGACTTTAGGGAAGAGGGATGGCAAATAATTTTAGATGAAGTCAACAATTTTTGTGAGTTGAATATGATTCCCGTGATTCGAGTGCAACAACTACCAATACTTCAAGTGTTAATCAATAACAAATTTTTGGGTATGTATAATTATATGTTTTTATTATTTTTATAATTATTGATTCTAAATTTTACTTATTAAATATATTTATTTCGTCACAAAAAAAATTTTTAATACACTTCAGCCCCCCCAAAAATAAATTTCTGGCTCCGTCCCTGCTGTCAGACATCCCTTGTGAAAGCAGATATATTTATCTTTTCAGATGAAAAATTGTCGTTAATTTCCATAGAGCTATTCCTATCCAAAAAGTTCAAGAAAACATTGAAGCAACCATCAGCTAGCTGCCCTACAACATCATTTGACTTTATCATTTTCTTTTATATATATATATATATATATGTATGTATAAAGAAAAGATGAAAATGATTAAACAAGGACTTTTCTTGAATTTGTAAGAATTTTGGTGTTGAAAATCTTTATTTCTCGTTGAGTTTTCAAATTAGAGGAAGATTTCTTCTGTATGTTGCCTTTGTGACATATTTATGGTGTATTTACTGTTGTTAGCGTGACTTTATTAATAAAATTATCTGAATATTAAAAAGAAAAAAATCTTTTATTATGCATGTCTGTGCAATTAAAATAAGATTTGGACATATATAAGGTGGGTACTAGGAGATATGTACGTACGTGAATCCTCATTCCTACCCCTCAACAAACATTAAATTGGTGATATTAGTTAGTCGCCAGGTAACTCGGGTCCAAGACAAGTAACCTTTGAATTAAGAATAAAACGGTGTTATGCATCCATTAGTCACTAAATCCACCAAAGAAACACCGTTCATCAGGATACGAAGAAGAACAACCAATATAGACGTTATACGCTCATTCGAGTCACTGCGCATTATATCGCTAAGAGTCTATTGGCCCATGGTTTATGACTTCAAATTCAACTCTTTATTATTATTTTTTTTAATGCATGAACTAATAATGGAGGAATCAAACTTTTACTGTTGCACAATGCGTTAGGTTTAAGCATCGGTAGATGGTATTACATTCACATCTAGCTATTACTACTAGCCTACTCTTTCCTTCCGATTGTGTCATTTACTTGTGTTTCTAATTCGTGGCAATTCGCCTTTATTTGTCTCAATTCAACCACCAAGATAGGCTAAATCTATTAATCTATAAACTTTCGTTACCCAGTCAATGTTCAATTCATATATTGCAAATAGTAATAATTTAGTACGTTTTCACTATCACTTTCAATTGAAATTTGGGATAATTTCAGAAACCTCCTTTGAGATTTCTAACAGTTGCAAGAAGCTCCCCTAAAGTTCTAAAAATTACACAAGCTTCCCTTCTATATATTAAGTGTTTAGGTAATTTACCTACGAATATCCTATAATACCATTCTATTAATCAAAAAAAAAAAAAAAATCTATTACTCCAAAAGTTCTTCCCAAGCTGCCAAATGTAGGTTTAGTGTCAAGCAACTTTGTTTATGTGATTAATGGTCTCAGTATCAAATTGACATGGGTGAAGTGCTTGATATTTGTATCATCATTTTTCCCTTATTTTTCCTATTACTGTTATGCAATTTTTGCCCTTTAATTTTTTTTTCAATAAAAAGGGAAAAGGAAGAGTTGGGATATGAATTAGATAGCAGAAAAAGCTACTTTGTTATAAGCACAAGAATAAGGTAGAAAATCTTGGATTCATCCAAAAAAGAAAAAGAGATTATGAAGTTACAGTTGGCGAATGATGATAATTAAAAATTTTATAAATTGGGGTGAAAATGAAAGATTGATGGTTGAAATGAAGTTTTTTAAAATAGGAGTTAAGATTTTAAATGAGTGGGAAAGATGGATGGTTGCGGTTGGTATTCTATTCCCATTTGATTTTTTTTCTTCTATAAACGGGTCTAACTAGTATGTGAGGGTTATTTATGTAAGTTCACGATAAAAGAAAGGTAAGTGTAATATTTAAAACTTCAAGGGAGGCTCCTACAACTATCAAAAACCTTAGGGAAGGTTTCTTAAATTATCCCTTTAAATTAATTGATTGGCAGGTTTTAACATTTAATCCTTCCATTTTAGATTACTGAAGCACTCCATCCGTGGCAAAATTTTTGTTCCTCCAAAATGTTTGTCCCTTTTAGAAAATCAAAACTCTTTTTGTCTCTCATTCTAATATGATCCCTACTTTTAGTCAAATGCATGTTACATTCACATTCAAAATTTGAATTTTGAGGCGTAACATTAAAAAGAAAAGTCCAAAGGTCACTGTACTGTTGATAAAAAGTTGGATTTTTCAACTCGTAATTATAATTCAGCGTTTAATGAAACTAAAATGTTCAACTTTGGAGTAATTGAGTATCTTACTACAAAATCAAAAAGCGTCAGAAGCGGGCATAAGATTAATCTAAGTAACCCTTGACTGGTTATGCCCCGTCAGACCGCCCCACCTGTCCGCTGGAGATCCTCCACACGAATGTGTGTAAAACTAAAACCTGCCACTGCGGCGTGCGGGAGGTCAATTCTTTTCCATTTTAAGAGGGCTTTCCAAAGATGGTTAAGTAGCAATCAGACACCAAAGTAAACCACTCGTATTTATTTAGTAAATAATTTCACAATAGAATCCAATTGCAGAACATATACATTTTTAGTTTTGAATAAATAACAACTACACAAAATTTGAATATGAAATTCAACTTTTGCACACGTAATTTTTACTCTTAATTAAGTGACTTTTACAAGACGTATTCTGAATTATTTGAATCATTTAAAATACGGCAAATTAAATCGACATAATAAAAACGTTATACTTTTTATAGTTGTGAATCAAGTGCCAAGATACGCCGGCAATTTAAAAAAGTCAACTGACCGTCTAACTTTCTAATCCCTCAGTTGATGTCTTCTAAGTTTTAAACTATTTTATTAGCTAATATTTGATTCATAAAGCGAACCCGGACGACAAAGGACAAGTTCTAGCTTTAATTATCTTTCTTTTCAGGAAAGGAAATGAATGACCACTATTTCTGGTCAAGTCAGCTTGAAGATTTGTAACTAATCAAGATTAGTAGACGTCTGTCCCGTGATTAAGGATTTAAGCTCCAGCACAATCGGAGGCACAAGGCTAAAAAGTACCACACCCAAGTCAAGACGAATAAGAAGCTATTACAATTTAAAAGACTGGGATTCCATAACCCAGATGCGCATCTTATTGGTCTTATTTCCTTCAATTAAGATGAAGATTACATACTAGATGTTTCAGACGTTAAGATACAAATCCTCCAATGCTGAACAACAAATTAATGCGAGTGTTGAGTAGTTATTTCTTGGTGGTCTTATTTTCTTCAACCTGCAGAAGGTCTTCCAACACCTTATCATCCAAGTACTCAAACTCAATCACTTCTCTGCCAATATTGGGGTTCACGTGTGATGATGATGATGTTGAAGCCAATGAGGAAGAAGAAGGGTACTCCTCGGGGAAGTTCAGAACCGCCAAAGAACCCCTCGTTGCAAAAGCAGCTCGATCATAGGCCCTCGCGGCCTCCTCCGCGGTGGCAAATGTCCCCAGCCACAACCGCGCTCCGTTGTTATTCATATCGCGAATTTCCGCCGCGTACTTCCCCCACGGCCGCTTTCTCACCCCTCTGTATCTCACTTCTCCTTCCTTGTCATCTTTGGATTTATTTCCACCACCTTGATCAGCCATCCCCTTAACGAGAGCGTGGTGTGTGTAGTAATTTTGCATGCTCTTCCCATAATTTATATTTGTATATATATAGGGCAGGAAAAGGTCAGAAATGGATACATCATACAATGAACAAGAATTTCATAATGGTCCCCAGAAGCACCAAGACAATTATGGTCGAAGCATCGAACGTGTTCAAGAACTATTCTCAGTGTAGAGCTATGGAGAGATGCAGTTCTAACATACGTCAATGATGAGCAGATATGGTGATTGCTTTTGGGAGGCTGCTAAAATATTTTATGCTCGAAATCCCAATTTCTTTAGTTTGAATTAAGTTCAGGTTACTTGTACCAGGTTAGTGGTGAGGTCAAGTTGATTGTTTTGTTTTTGCTTCTTCACAAAAGTGTCTCTGAATTAGCGGATTTTATTACTTTATATGCGGAAAAGTGATCGATTGGAGGTATTACTATTAATATGTGCTATTATTTATTGATTTCCATGCCTAGTAAAAGACTCTACCTATCATGTTCGCACTAACTAGCACCCAATTACGTACCTGTACATCAAACTTGACGGTGATGTCATGGGGCTCGCAAGAAAAGAACTACTGGTAATAATAATATATTGACGAATAAATGCTGATCAAACACGTCGGTTAAGATTCTAATGCTTTTATATTCTGGAATTGGTGTTGAGATACCGTTTGAATTGGCCGGTTATATACTGGTAGAGTGGCTATGAGTAAAATGCAATGAAGGATGAGATCGTATAAACGCAACGGATCTTCTGTCCCATATTCTGTGCCATTTTCTATCACATTTTTTATTATATTGCTATTTCTCTTACATAAACACTATGTTTTAATTCTTTTTTTGTTTTTTTAAGATCCAATAACTATTAACTAAGTAATATACAAGATTTAACAAACTCAAAAAATCAAAATGCATAAAAAATGAGATTTTTTATGAAATTTCTGCTGTATTTTTTAATTTTTTATTATATATTGCTTTTTTGAAACTGTTGTATTGATTTTTTATTCAGTTAATAGTTATTGGATCTTAAGGAAACAAAAAAGAATTAAAACATGGTGTTTATGTAGGAGAAATAGCAATATAATAAACAATGGGACAGAGAATGGTACAGGGTGTGGGACAGAAGATCCGTTGCGACGCAATGGATATTCTGTCTCACATCCTGTGCCATTTTCTGTCACATTTTTTATTAGATTGCTATTTCTCTTACATAAACATTATATTTTAATTCTTTTTTTGTTTTCTTAAGATCCAATAACTATTAACTAAGTAATATACAAGATTTAACAAACTCAAAAAATCAAAATGCATAAAAAATGAGATTTTTTATGAAATTTCTACTGTATTTTTTAATTTTTTATTATATATTATTTTTTTGAAACTGTTGTATTGATTTTTTATTCAGTTAATAGTTATTGGATCTTAAGGAAACAAAAAAGAATTAAAACATGGTGTTTATGTAGGAGAAATAGCAATATAATAAAAAATGAGACAGAGAATGGCACAAGATGTGAGACAGAAGATCCGTTGCGAAAAAAATTCGACAGTTTCAGAATGTCAGCGGCTTATACTTTGTGAAATCGTAGCTGGGTAAATTTTTCACCTTATTGGATTTCATTTTCGACAGAATTTGCACTTTCCATGAAAGCCTTGTCCTGTCATTTTTTTTTTTTTATATATATATATATAAAAAGCTAACCATCACTCTATTTTAGGGCAGATATTTAATTGTAAGTCTAAACTATTCCCATGTTACTTTTCGAATGTGAGAAAGAAAAAATCAGCAGAACCGCCGCGATGCAAGTTCACCTGCGAAGCGGCATATACAAGAAGATGGTAGACGTGTGATTGACGGGAGAAAGCTGAGAAAGGGCCTTGATTTAGAGTTCCAGCCTGAGGAAAGAAACATGACATCATTTGCCAGTCGCCACACGAATAACGATGAATGCGAGAGCCCACAAAATCTTTGAGAAATGGCTCCACTTATGTTATGCCCAGGTTGGAAGTTGGAACTCTGGAAGAAGGGCGGGGTGACATCATTCCGAGGATGACGTCTCTAACTAATGTCACAGGCTCACGGGGGGCGTATAAAGACTGAAGTCAGCGGCAGGCTTAAAATCACCAAGCGACATTGATCCGACCAATGATTGAGTTAATCACTCTTGATTCAACTACTCAAATCTATTGGATCAGGATCTCGCAGGTTACGGTTAGATTTGGGTTTGGGGTGGAAAAAAGCGGCAGACGGACGATATCAGCACGTGCTTCAAAGGAGTAATCAGCGATGTGATCGGGGGGTTAGGTTGCTCCGTTAGCGTGACCGACATCATGGTACACTGGTGTTCCAAGTCAACTGGATTGTGGATTTTGTTGTTGTGGGTCTTTGGCTTAAGCCGTTCTCAGGCAGATGATCGATAGGGTTAATTTATTTTGTCCAAAACCGGAAGGACGAGGAAGGGGTGTGTAGAATGTAGATGGATGGGGAAGACTAGGATCCGATCCTAAGACAAACCAGAACGATCAAATGTTTGTATGAACGGAAGTGATAGATATCCAAGAACATTTCAGACACTTCGACTTCAGCCTTGCCAGGTACTTTTATGTACCTAAAAAAAGACATCTTTTGTACTATCTTCCGACTTCAATGAATGAAACATATATAATTAGATCTCTCATATATTCATATATATCTATATATATATATATATATACTAGTTTTTTCAGCGTCACGCAATGCGTGAGGATGCCCTGGGTCTATGTTAATCAAGATCAAATGAAGGCAAGTAGATTAATGTAAAATGGTTATATATTTAATACATGATAGGTGTTAATAAATGTGAAGAATTTGACTTTAGATAAATTGAATATTGTTGTTACTCGTTTACTCATTTGATTTGTAATTTTCTCTTAGATAGTCAGTCTTTGGCTTAAGATCTTTGTGAATTCTTGATATTATAAATAAATGATGCATTCATTTAAAATGTACAAGTACGTACATATATAAAAAATATGGTGACGCTGATCACTTTTAAAATTATGCACACACTATTTGTATCTAATCAAGAATGAAATAAGTTTAAACAAGACCAGTTAGGTGAGAGTGCGAAGACTTCACCTTGTAAAACCGCCAAATCCAGGTCTTCAATTGGTGAAAGAAACACATCCAATATGTTGCTTTTCAGATGGCTTTCTCTCAAGATTACATAGGCAATACAGCTTTGTGTGGCTCCCACAGACCGCTTCGGACACCACCCACCGCCCACTCACCAGGGGAGCTCAAGCAACTACAACCATACGATGAAGATACAAATACATGTCTGAACTCTGAAGCACAAACACAAAAGCCACCAAAGTTGACCAAGCACACAAATGAAGC